TCGCTCTCTCTCTCTCTCTCTCTCTCTCTCTCTTCTCTCTCTCTTCTCTCTCTCTCTCTCTCTACTCTCTATCTCTCTCTCTCTTCTCTCTCTCTCTCTCTCTCTCTCTCTCTCCCTCTCTCTCTCTCTCTCTCTCGCTCTCTCTCTCTCTCTCTCTCTCTCTCTCTCTCTCTCTCTCTCTCGCCTCTCTCTCTCTCTCTACAATCTCTCTCTCTCTCTCTTCTATCTCTCTCTCCTCTCTCTATCTTCTCTCTGCTCTCTCTCTATCGCTCTCTCTCTCTTTCTCTCTATATTCGCTACCATTTTCTCTTTCATAATTATATTTGTAAATATTGATATATCTGTTTCCTTATATCAGTAATTGCTTTCAAATTATGTTACTATGCATTATTCGGTTGGTCTTTCAGTTGGGAATTAAACAACAGCTTTTCACTTACTTTTGAAAACTAATTTTATCTTCATCTTACTAATAGAGATAATAATTTTGGTCGTCACATAAAATGCTAAATTTCTTTCAAATAAATTAATGACTGAAGGTACTTTTTAAGATAAATTTTTAGCTGTTAATTCCTAAAATACTGTTATTTCGAAAACATTTAGAATGATATGTATGCTAAAGAAAATTTTTTATGAAAAAACATTTTTTCACTGAAAAGGTGGCAATGGGAAATATTTGAACTAAATATCACTTTAATTTAAAAGTTTTCGCATAGAATACCCTTTGACGAGGAACATTTTAGCAAGGAATACACTTGGAGAAAACTTAAATACCAATTTTTTCAGCCACGTTATTGTGACTCTTCATCGTCTGCAAAATATAAATATAAATATATATATATATATATATATATATATATATATATATATATATATATATATATATATATATATATACCACTTCAAGAAGTATATTTCAGTAAGAACACTTTTGGCAAAGAATAGCCCCTGACCCTTTGAAAAGATATAAAGATATAATATTGAAAACCAAATAATTAACGAAAAATTTACCTTAATGCCTCGAGATGACTAGAAACGTTTCGACAATAAATGCTTCGTGAAGACAAACTTCTCTGGTCTAAGTGCCTCTTGAAGATAAAACAAATATTTTCCTTTTCTCCTGCCAAATTTCCGTAACGAGTTAAGTTAGCTTTCATTTACTTCCAGAGGAGTGAGGAAAAAGTTCCTCGACTCCCTTAATCCGGTGGGAGACGAGGAAATTTGTTCTTAACCTAATGAAGAGAGACTTCATCAATTTCATTTTTCCTCTACAGGCACTTATTTGCAGCCTTGAAGGAGAATTAGAGTACACTTCATCAGTACTTATACCGAGATTCTGACAGCAATTGCAATATTTGGCATAAACTTGATTATATGTTTGACTTGCTTACATGTTTGAACTGCTGTTTGTTTGCATATCTGTTTGATTTTTTTTTAATAATTGGCTTTATGTCTGATTTTGATTATCTGTATGTTATTGTTTACGCGATTGCAAAGATAAAACTACGAATTTATTATGCACGATCAAATGAGAAAGAAATGAAGCAAAAAAAACAACTGTTTGTCATTTTACTTCACTGTACACCATTCAATATATTAATGTCTGTCTGTTTATCTATCGATGCTTGTGCATAACTTATTCACCCTGTTATCTCTTCCACCCTTATCTGTCTGTCTGTCTGTCTGTCTGTCTGTCTGTCTGTCTGTCTGTCTGTCTGTCTGTCTGTCTGTCTGTCTGTCTGTCTGTCTGTCTGTCTGCCTCTCTGTCTATCTGTCAGTGACAATAAAGAGTCTTAAATAGTATATAGGCCAGAAATTTCCCCATCAATGTGGCCCTTCCAGCAAACGAGGCGCCCGACGGATTACTGCACGTTATTGCATCCCGGTTGCATTGTTATTGCAAGGTGTGCTGGCGTGTTATGAATGTCTGGCGTCGACAGCAGCGTCATTCAGCTCCGAAAATCTATTGTCTTGTCGTCTTTTGTGTACAAGTTTGGTGTGCCAACTCCGGCCGCCGACAGACTCCTTGATCACCTTGGAATTTAGGTTTTTGCAATGTTACAGTGTGCTCCGATAGACATTCAAACAGGCAAACATTGACGTGCACATAATTACACGTACGGACATGCATGGATGCGCCATGAGAAATTGCACAATAGGGTACTTGCCTACAAACACTTGTAGATAAGAACATGTCAGTAAGCACTTATTGGTAAGCCCAAACATACCTAAAAAGCACAAAAATCAAAATATGTAGAAATTCACACACACTCACACACACACACACACACACACACACACACACACACACACACACACACACACACACACACACACACACACACACACACACACACACACACACACACACACACACACACACACACACACATGTATGTGTACGTGGGTGTGTGAATTTCTATATGTTTCTTTTACACATACATACACATACACATGCACACATACACATTTCATCCCACAATCTTTATCACATTTTCTCTCTTCTTACAATCATATTCCCTCCCTTTTTTCCCTACCACATTTCCTCCCTTACATTCTCCTACACTCCCTCACTCTCTCCCTTAATCCATCGCTCCATCTCACTTTGCAGAAGAACCATCCAACGCCCACCTTTGTCAATTTTCTCATTACCTTCTCCTCTACAGCTCTTCTCCCTTCATACCGGTAGTCTAATCCTCAGTGCTTTGTTTATGATCCAAAGAGAGACAAATTCGTGGTCTCTCTCATGATTTGCAAGGCTTGTGAGATATCTCTCTTGTACGTACTGTCTATCTTTCATACTGGAATTCTCATTTTCTTAACGCGAACGGAAAGAACTCATCGAAATGATGAAATTTTTTTCTACCTGTTCTCGTACAAAATGCTCATTTATATTTGTTCAAATGATCATGGAGTAGAAATAATGCAAAGTCATACAATGTTTTACTCTCTCTCTCTCTCTCTCTCTCTCTCTCTCTCTCTCTCTCTCTCTCTCTCTCTCTCTCTCACACACACACACACACACACACACACACGCACACCATACATCATCCTCATAATCATCTAAAGCACCCAATTACTAAATTGTTTTAATTTAGTTTTATCATTGCCATGCCAATAACTTCGATTAAGTTAATCTAATTGGCCCCCGAACACACCCTCACCTTCGTTGAGGACGAATATTTTCCTGATTAAGACAGGGTTGAATATTGATATTAAAAGCCCTACGTCTCACATTCTGAAGCGAAATTACATTTCCGTTTCCCTAATGCTTATTGGATCGTATTTTACCCTAAAGGAGCGAGATAACAGGCTTCTTTTATCTGTCTCATCAAGGTATGTTTAATCAAGTTAGAATCGGATATGTGAAGAGGGATATATGAGTGGTCTTACATCTTCCTTGACTATCAAACGTTTTCCGACAATACCACACAAAAGATTGCTATATAAGTTTGAAAAGAAAACCGCGAATTACAGTTTGCAGACTGGAATGTGTTCGTGATTGAACTTGTACCGTTTCTTGAATAAGTAAACTACTAACTAACAGGATGAAATGTTAACATTCCGATACTCCGTGATGATGCAAATCTGACTGAAAATGGTCAGAACTAAGGAGTGTAGATGAACGTCCACAAAACAAAGGTCAGATAAGATATTAAGCAATTAGATATTAAACCCGGCAAATGTAAAACAATGAGACTGTAAATAGGTGAGAGGAATCCCGGTCACGACAAAACATGAGGGATGTAACATTCACTGCTGACACAGTGGAGGGACCTCAAAGTGATAATAAATCAAACACTTATATGAAGGTCATATAATTGGCCTGTTTAAAACGAGGGAATGTTAAGCCTCTAGGAACATGCCCATGAAGATTTTCAGAAGACTTTAACAACACTTTTTAAGACCTGTATTTAAGTACAGAGCTACAGCGGGAAGTTTTCTTCTGATAAACCACGAAGCTTGAAAAGATACAGAAATCTGATGCAAGGCTTGCCCCCAAATATAGAAAAAATAACAACGAACAAGGAGAGAGTTGAATTGAACACCTGTAAAAGAAACGAGAGAGATGGGACGTGACAGACATGCAATATTCTTCGAGTGACTGACAGGACAGAGTTTTACGGAAGTGAAACTGTAGAAGGAGGAAGCGTGGGGGAAAGTAAGAGACCCCAAATCAGACGTAGGGGAACATTTATTCATTGGGATAGCAGCAACGAAATGAAATGAGCTGTTAAAGAAGATAATAAAAGTCAACTCCATTATCAAAAGAAGCTTACTGATTCACAGTCTTTAAAGTAGATATGAAATGAACTTAAAGGGATGCAAGTCACCGGAACAGACAACTGACATCTGAAATGGCGGAGCCCAGGAAATAAAGCTCAGTAGACATCGTTTTGCACACCTGGAGGAAAAAAATCGACCTCTTGCAGTTTCTTGCATCACTTGGTTTTGTGACACAAGCGTCTACTTCATATTGTATTCAGGAAGGCCAACTCTCATCCCAACTTTAGCAAAGGACGGAAAAAAGTTTTAGGTAGGCCATTGACTTGGGACGCTGGAAGCCATCTGGATGATCGTGACCAGCTGAACAGGTATCCTCTTGCACAATCATTACATTTGACAACCCTCTTGGGTTACTTAGGTGCCAAATATGTCAAGGATATTCATAATATTTGTAATTTAGGAGTATTTAACTTTTACGAGACTTGGATGGGAAAGATGTAGTTCTGCTAGAAACGGGAGTTGCCGTCTTACACCAGCTGCGATAGATGCCCCTTTGTTTCGATTGTAATATTTGTCTTCTAGTGTCACTTGCGACAAGTGTTCGATTGTGTTAGCTGTGACAGGTGTTCATTTGTGCTGTCAGGTGTCTTTTAGAGCCAACTTTGGTTCAGTAACTGTTTCCTAATACGGGATGTGTAAGAATTCATAAAAGACGTTTTTTTCAAATATTGACGAACACAACGAAATTCCTTTCGCCACAACCCACACCTTCTGCTCTCTCCCTACTCTACTCTATCGCAAACTATTTCCGTATCATTTCTTTTCATTATTTTAACTGATTGTTCTCTTCCCTTCCTTATTCGTATTCTCACGCCTGCATCCCTAATTCGACCTTGTTAGAGCTCTCACCAACAGTAAATTTAAAAGAAAATTATAAATTAATAATTTCCCCTATATCTTCATCTGAAGTGGATTTCAGTGTTCTGATTTGGCTTTCCCTTAACGGGAAACCTTAGTTACCAGTTGTGAAGATCTGTAGTGGTAGAGTACAGAAGAAATTTGAACTCTACCGACAACAACATTTTGGTGCATCAATATACCATACAACAATACACAATATATCAATACACAGTACCTCAACACACAGCACATCAATGCTGTCAATGCTCAATCAACACATCGAGCCCGTTGTCTCGATTTCCGTAACTAATGCAATGGTGTAACACAATCAGACGCACCAGAAACTAAGCCACCACCCACTTACAGGACCTGATAATTATTAGGCACACAAAGCGTCTATATTGATATGTTTATAATTTCCCTAAACCACCGCAATGTTACGCTGAAGTATATTGCATAAAAACCGAAATGCGTTCAGTTAGTGATCAGGTACGGTAATAGTACCTGATCTATGACTAAATAGTACTGTAATCATGCTGCAATAGTACTGTAATAGTACTCACTTCTGTGTGCTGTATCCGACATGTCCCTCTGTATCTTGACTCTCCTTCGTCCTTTTTCCTGAGAACTCGCTGGAGAATGAGAAAAAAAATAGCAGGGATACATTGAATAAAAAATACACAGGTATATATTCATAGATAGTGATAACGGAAAGCCAAATATACAAACTCTGAGATAACGAATTCACAGTTGATGGATGAGAGACGTCGGTAAGAAGTAGATGATGAACAGGTGAGCGATGAAGTGTATAGAAGAATTGGAAGATAAGGGGAAGATGACAGACGTAATTGATGTCATAAATCATAGAGAAAATTTATATGCACCAGCACGGGAGCACGCGCGCGCTGGTGAACACAAGCCCTCCCTTATTCACATGACTCCTGCATACACCCTCCTACAAACACACACACACACACACACACACACACACACACACTCATCTACCTACAAATGCTTCACGTCCCCTTCTATCTACCTACGCACCACGCTCTCTTTGATCTATCTACGCTCCACGCTCCCTCCTATCCACACTCTTCCATCCTCTCTCTCTCACAATCACTCTTGCATTCTCACCCCTCACTCCTGACACGAGAGGAATTACCTCAATAACTTCCCAATATGAGTGGGAGTGAGGGGACACGAGCACGAGGAGAGGGGAAGGGGACTCGAGAGGGGAAACTTGAGAGGGAGTGAGTAGTAACACGAGAGACATTAAAGGAGAGGGACACGAGAGGTAATGATGGAGAGAGACACAAGAGGTTATGATGGAGAGAGACACGAGAGGTAGTGATGGAGACAGACACGAGAAGGAGTGGCAGAGAGGGACATGGGAAAAAGTTATGGAGTGGGACACGGAGGTGAATGAGAGGAAAAGAAGTGAAGAAACATGTATAAAGAACACTATTCAGACCTTAAATGAGCCTTATTGGAAGTGTGCGGGCGAGGCATGAGTCTTTAGAGTGTGAGAGTGGGCGAGGCATGAGCTTGGGAGAGTGAGAGTGGGCGAAGTATAAACGTGGGTGTGTTGGAGTGGGAGAGGAATCGACATGGAAGCTTGTAAGTAGACGAGGCATAAACGTGGGAGCTAGTGAGTGTGCGAGGCATGGACATGTGCGCATGAGAGAGGGATTTAGCGAGGTATGGTCGACATGTTTACAATGCAGGTTACCTGTTGCCTTGAGAAGCTTATCGAGCCTTACCTGGGGGGTTCCCCCCCCCCCTTACTCCTTGTCAGCGTGATGTGACTGTACACTCACCTAACTGTCTTACAGAATCGACCTTCAGCTCCTGGACAACCCAACTCTTACCTCTCGGTCGACTGGCGTAATAGAACTTATAATACCTGCTTTTAAATTTATATTCCATTTCATTACAACTATATTTCAAGGTCATTCCACCAACTAATCTATTCTGTTTTTTTAACATTGATTCTGCTTCTTTCCAGTCCGTTTGTTTCCATAAATATTCATTGTTCTGGGCCCAGCTATATAAAATAGTAATTTAGTTGTCTTCTGGTGTTTTGAGGCCGAGCTTATGTAGTTTAATATCAGTCTTCTAGAATTAAAAATAAAAGTCTTGAAGTCGCCATGTAGCTTCCCAATTAACATTTACCCTCCCAAGTATCATATGTATACTAGACTTGTTTCCAGACTTCGAAATCATCACTTCCCTAACGATCTAAAAATCATTCGCTAATCTAACCGAGTAAATAGTTCATTGATTCAGCGTTTCAGCATACTGAAGAAATTTTAGCAATGATATCAGAAGACAGATATGATCTGAGAGAACAGATGAGGACTGGGACTTTAGATTTGTGAGAGCTTAGATAAGAAATGCATTGGTTTGTACGTAATGACATGAATATCAATTGGAATATATAAATCTATTATATTTCATATTTCCTCACATGTCTACACACACACACACACACACACACACACACACACACACACACACACACACACACACACACACACACACACACACACACACACACACACACACACACACACGCACGCGCACACACACACACACGCACGTGCACACACACACACACACACTCACACGAGACCACACCCTCTTTCTCCAGAGACAGCACTTGTAAACGTCTCCACTGCCATAAATATTGGTCTACAGCACCACCATAAACATTAACCCAGACCTCCCCCCATCAACACCACCACCAGCCCCACTACTCTCCATACGCCATCATTTACAACTTCACCACAGGGAACTCTATCTACCCCACCCTTACCTGCACCACCACCGCAACCAATCTCACCATCCGTATTTGCACAATCACTAACGATATACATATCACTACCACCACGACCACCACAATCAACTGCAACATTACAACTATCACCTGATTCAAACACTGAAGACATACCCTTCCGATGATCGATATCCACATCATGAATGACTATCCGGATGGTTTCGCCCTCTGTGACCGAGCTCTGTCTCTTCAACTCGTCCTCCATGCCCAAGTCCCGGGACGTGTTTACCTCCAGCGACTGGGTGATCCGGGGCACGCCGCCCACGCCTGGCGTTGGGGTGGGCGTGGGCCCAGGGTACACTGAAGTGCAACGTGGGGAGGCTGGAGGCGTGGGTAATATCCGACCACTTTCAGACCTGACAGAAAAATAAAGAAAAGGATGGGTAATAACATATATTTTACTTGGATTATCAGAGGTTTGATTATGGGGCCTATAAAATACAAAACTTTCACTCTGTAAGCGAGGCCAGCTAGGAAGCTAACACAGAACGTTTCAGAGATCAGTTAAATGCTAGTCAATTTGGATTTTAAGCTTTTCTCGAAGCATCATAATGGTATCTGGTGGTAAAAATTGCAAGTACAGCTATATTGACAAAATCCCGAAAGGAAATATTTTAAAAATCTTTATTTGTTCTTTAAATAAAAAAAAATGAAAACAAAAACGGGCCACATCAGTTTAATGTCGTTATCAACAAGGAAATGTTACAAGGGAATGTGAAGGGACGTTTTAACAGAATGTGAAGGAACGTTTTAACAGAATGTGAAGGAACGTTTTAACAGAATGTGAAGGAACGTTTTAACAGAATGTGAAGGAACGTTTTAACAGAATGTGAAGGAACGTTTTAACAGAATGTGAAGGAACGTTTTAACAGAATGTGAAGGAACGTTTTAACAGAATGTGAAGGAACGTTTTAACAGAATGTGAAGGAACGTTTTAACAGAATGTGAAGGAACGCTTCAACAGAAACGATAGACACGTTTCAGCAGAAACTGAAGGAACGTCGCCAATGAATATGAAGCAGAATATTACGTTAGAAGTCAGCCAAGTTGCATATCTCAATGAACAAAGTTGAGAGGATGAAGGAAGAAAAGATTTTAGATCTAAGCGACAGGACTGAAAAAGTTGAGACTTGCCAAAGTTCTCAATCCAGCATACAAGTTCATTAGATGATTAAGAAGTATTTTCAGAAAAATTAATACTACTGAGATGAGATTTGGGTGGCCGTCTTATAATTATTAAAATTTATTAATTACCGTCATCATTATCAAAATTGTAATGATACTTATTGTTATTTATATGTGGTAATTTTATTTGTGATAAATATTATTATTATTATTTGTATTATTATTTAACAAAACACATTATTATTATTATTATTGTAGTATAATGTTTAACATCTGTTTCTCTTCCCTCCCTCTTAGTCTTCTCTCTTTCTTCTGTCCATCCCTCTTTTTGTCTCTCTCTCTCTTTCTGGTATATCGCTTTTCATTCCATTTTGTTGCCCCTTCTTTCCTCCCCCTTTTCTCATTTTCCTTTTCCTTCTCTGCGGATTTCTTCCCTCTTCTGTTTCTCTTTCTTACCCCCTTTTCTGTACTTCGCCACTCCCGTCTTGCTGCCTCTTCCCATCCACTTTCCCACCTCACTCTTCCTTCTTTTGACATTCTACATTTCGTTTTCTGAACCTCTTCCTTAACTCTCTCCCCCCCCCTCTCTTTCATCCTCCTTGTCCTCCCATCTTAGATCTTAGAAAAAGGGCAGGAGGACGCCTCCGAACACTTACACAGCCGAGGACCTCCTCCTGGTTAAACGATACTCCTCGTTATCAGGATGAAGCCATTGCTCCTCCTCCAAGCTGGAAGTACCAGTTCTTCTTGGAGAGGTCTGAGCGGACGTGACTCCACTACCTGCCGCTCCGCCAACGCCGCCTGGTAGAGGAGGGGCCATCTCTGGAGACATGGGTGACGGAGAGTCGATAGTTGCTGTGGAAACGGAGAAATATCGGGTGATTAGAAGTTAGCTGATTAGTTTGAATGACGGGTTGAGGTAACTTGATTAATTTGAATGACAGTTTGAGGTCATTTGATTAATTTGAATGACGGGTTGAGGTCACTTGATTAATTTGAGTGACAGTTTGAGGTCACTTGATTAATTTGAATGACGGTTTGAGGTCACTTAATTAATTTGAATGACGGTTTGAGGTCACTTAATTAATTTGAATGACGGTTTGAGGTCACTTGATTATTTTGATAGATGATATGAGTCAATCTGATCAATTTGAGAGGCGATTGGAAGTTAGTTGATTGACTTCACAAATGAATATAAATTAGTGATTAATTTTATAGGTAAGAAGTAAGTTGACGAATTTAATAGGTTAGATGTAAGTTGATGATTTTGAAAATAATAAATTAAGTAATTTGAAAGGTAGTTATTTAAAAGACATTAAAGAAATGTTAAATTAATTGACTGGTGATTAATTAATTAATTTGATAGGTGATTAGAAGTTAGTTAATTAATTCGATTGGTTATTCAGAGTTAGTTAATTATTTTTACAGTCGATTCAGAGTTAATTAAATTGTTTGGTGATTCAAAGTTAGTTAATTAATTTTATAAATAGATACAATTTAAGTATGAAAAAGATTTTTGATTGAAAGGTGACCCCTTGAAAGGTTGAAACTATAATTTCAACTTATCATTGCCACAACCACTTACCAAGACACAACCACCGCCAACTCCACTCTAAAGACAGAAATCGTCCCCCACAATCATGCAAACAACCACTATATTATATCTTCAATAGCTGCAAAACTCACCACGACCACAACCACCACTACCACTATCACATAACCACCACTACATACAACCTTCACTATCACAACCACTCAGCAACCACTACCACATTTACCAAGCCAAAATTAATCAACCAGAACAAGTATGATTGTAAACTTTGGCAAACTTTAGCAGCTGTTTGGGTAAGTTAGGTGAACTCTTGATGGGGAAACGTCACACACGTGTTCGAACCTCTAATTAACTGTAGCTGATTGATGTCTTCATGCCAGATGCCCGACGTCAACCAGATATGTCTTCAAAAACAGCTAATCGATCTATCAGGGTGCGCTGAATGCCAGTATGTATCTTGCCCAATTAATGTTATACTCACTAGTGAGTATACTCACTACTCACTCCTCTTATTTTTTCAATATCGTTTGTGACAATGTCGACGCCATCTGTTGAGCACACCCGACCCAAATTCTTTTAGGATGGGAGGTGTGACGACGTCAACGCCCTCTGTAGAGCACAGCCGACCCCAATTCTTTTAGGAGCGGGAGGTGCGACGATGGCAACGCCATCTGCTGAGCGCACCCGCCCCCTTTGCGGGTGCCCCCCATAAAAAAATGGATGTAATTTTACTGACACCTGTAGAGTTTCCTATTTACTATTCATCTTTTACTCCTTAGAAGTGATGTGGTTGGTCCTTTGGTCGTCAGGAATCAGTTCACCCAACGCAGTCCTGAACTCAAGACATGTTCCAGTGGGAACCAGTGGTCGAGTCAGTGGTGACTGTGATTTGTTTGTGATACTGTGTGAAGTACTGATGACGGACCGACGTATTCCGATATGGCCAATTTGATTTATGAGATGTAATTATTGTTCGTCTGTTAAGGCTTGTTACAATTGAAGCCTGTGCGGAAGCCTGCCAGCGTGTTGCTGGAGACCCCTGCCAGCGTGTTGCTGGAGATCCCTGTCAGTGTGTTGCTGGAGACCCCTGCCAGTGTGTTGCTGGAGACCCATGCCAGTGTGTTGCTGGAGACCCCTGCCAGCGTGTTGCTGGAGACCCCTGCCAGCGTGTTGCTGGAGACCCCTGCCAGCGTGTTGCTGGAGACCCCTGCCAGTGTGTTGCTGGAGACCCCTGCCAGCGTGTTGCTGGAGACCCCTGCCAGTGTGTTGCTGGAGACCCCTGCCAGCGTGTTGCTGGAGACCCCTGCCAGTCTGTTGCTGGAGACCCCTGCCAGTGTGTTGCTGGAGACCCCTGTCAGTGTGTTGCTGGAGACCTCTGCCAGTGTGTTCCTGGAGACCCCTGCCAGTGTGTTGCTGGAGACCCCTGCCAGTGTGTTCCTGGAGACCCCTGCCAGTGTGTTGCTGGAGACCCCTGCCAGTGTGTTCCTGGAGACCCCTGCCAGTGTGTTGCTGGAGACCCCTGCCAGTGTGTTGCTGGAGACCTCTGCCAGTATGTTTCTGGAGACCCCTGCCAGTGTGTTGCTGGAGACCCTGCCAGTGTGTTCCTGGAGACCCTTGCCAGTGTGTTGCTGGAGACCCCTGCCAGTGTGTTGCTGGAGACCCCTGCCAGTGTGTTGCTGGAGACCCTTGCCAGTGTGTTGCTGGAGACCTCTGCCAGTGTGTTGCTGGAGACCCCTGCCAGTGTGTTGCTGGAGACCTCTGCCAGTGTGTTGCTGGAGACCCCTGCCAGTGTGTTGCTGGAGACCCCTGCCAGTGTGTTGCTGGAGACCTCTGCCAGTGTGTTGCTGGAGACCCCTGCCAGTGTGTTGCTGGAGACCCCTGCCAGTGTGTTGCTGGAGACCTCTGCCAGTGTGTTGCTGGAGACCCCTGCCAGTGTGTTGCTGGAGACCTCTGCCAGTATGTTGCTGGAGACCTCTGCCAGTGTGTTGCTGGAGACCTCTGCCAGTGTGTTGCTGGAGACCCTTGCCAGTGTGTTGCTGGAGACCCCTGCCAGTGTGTTGCTGGAGACCCCTGCCAGTATGTTGCTGGAGACCCCCCTGCAAGTGTGTTACTGGAGACCCTTGCCAGTGTGTTGCTGGAGACCCTTGCCAGTGTGTTGCTGGAGACCCCTGCCAGTGTGTTGCTGGAGACCCCTGCCAGTATGTTGCTGGAGACCCCCCTGCAAGTGTGTTACTGGAGACCCTTGCCAGTGTGTTGCTGGAGACCCCTGCCAGTATGTTGCTGGAGACCCCCCTGCAAGTGTGTTACTGGAGACCCTTGCCAGTGTGTTGCTGGAGACCCTTGCCAGTGTGTTGCTGGAGACCCCTGCCAGTGTGTTGCTGGAGACCTCTGCCAGTGTGTTGCTGGAGAATAGAAGTGGTTTGCACCATGACGATACTATAGAGGACTGGCCCATGATTTACTGAGAAAGGTGAACTCGCCGGCGTGAGAACCATAGAAGAAAGATTCAGGGAGAGAACCTTGAATGGTGTACGATAGAAGACACAAGTGGACTCGCCGGGAAAGAAGATTGCAGAAGTTCTTTTATAGTGTCCAGTGGGAAAGGGACACCTGCTGTCACTTAAAACAAAACAAAAACGATGTTAAAAACAACGAGTCGATCTTTCATTGTACATTACGTCAACCGGATGCGTCTCTAAAAGGAGCCTGTCGATGTTTCACGATACGATACGTCAACCGGATGCGTCTCTAAAAGGAGCCTGTCGATGTTTCAAGATACGATACGTCAACCGGATGCGTCTCTAAAGGAGCCTGTCGATGTTTCACGATACGTTACGTCAACCGGATGCGTCTCTAAAAGGAGCCTGTCGATGTTTCAAGATACGATACGTCAACCGGATGCGTCTCTAAAAGGAGCCTGTCGATGTTTCAAGATACGATACGTCAACCGGATGCGTCTCTAAAAGGAGCCTGTCGATGTTTCAAGATACGATACGTCAACCGGATGCGTCTCTAAAAGGAGCCTGTCGATGTTTCAAGATACGTTACGTCAACTGTATGAGTTTCCAAGAACAGAGAGTTAATCTTCACGGATGCATCACGTCATTAGGCTGTTTCATAGAATCAATGAGTCAAATCTCGTATGCTTGCTTCATTATGTAAAATAAATATAAACAAACAATGTCGATTAAACTTTGCCTAGTAGAAAGCCACAGCTTGGAAAGAAAGTGAAGAAACTTGGATTTATTGGATGAAGTAAACCTTTTAAGTTAAGAAAAGTTGCTTTCATTGAACTGATCACCATTAACAAGATTATTTAATCAATGATTTATATTTTTACGTCGACCTTTACCTATTCTCCCTTAACAAGGGCTGAACTAGTCAGTCATAATGCAAGAGATGAATGCAAAACGAATGAACTCATATTCGCTAGAGCAATACGAGTTCATCATACTGCTTTAGCGAATAATAATTAGGTCGTAACGACTCATCGTTTGACTGTAGCGAATCATCACTAAGGTGATAGTCACTACAAGGATTTAACGACACATGATGTTGTTTTAACGACTCTTCAGTTGACTTAGCTCTATGTAACTCTATCGTAAAAGCCAAAAAGTTTCGTTATACAGGATCTTCCAGATAGAACTCCTTGCTGCCTGTTGATATAATTTTTATCCATGTGGATAAAAAAAAACACATTTGGTTTGATTTATTTTTTCTGATATTTTGACTACTACACTTGTCACTGATACTTGACTTTGGATAAGAGGGTCTTCCCTGCTGCCACCTTTTGTAGATTGTGTGCGTGCGTGTGTGCGTGCGTGTGTGCGTGCGTGTGTGTGTGTGTGTGTGTGTGTGTGTGTGTGTGTGGTGTGTGTGTGGTGTGTGTGTGTGTGTGTGTGTGTGTGTGTGTGTGTGTGTGTGTGTGTGTATGTGAGTGTTGTGTGTGTGTGTGTGTGTGTGTGTGTGTGTGTGTGTGTGTGTGTGTGTGTGTGTGTGTGTGTGTGTGTGTGTGTGTGTGTGTGTGTGTGTGTGTAAAGCCCCAACTGAACAAGAATCATATAAATTTGAATTAGTGCAATATTATGTATGCATATTACTCAATAATATATAAATTTAACTCTTCAGTATCTAATCGGGGGGAATCCTTTGTCTCTTATGATAATTTTGATAAATTACATTACATTTGATTACGAGTTCTCTGAAATATTAAATGAGCAAAATGTTGAAATTGTTGCAGTCTGTTATACTCAAATTCTGTCAGTTGAAATGTAACCAATCACAGGCGAGTAGGCCTCTGA